TCACACGACTTCGAAACTTGAGTTTTATAGTTTTCTTTGTTCTCTCCTATTTGTCGTCGTAGGGGTAGTAGAATTTTCCAAACGACTGGATGGACAGGTGTTGAATCATTCCTATTACACGTGTTTGAAGTGATTCGATGAAGAAAGCTTCCGTTATCAATCTCCCCCTCCACGTTGTTACATCAGATTTTAAAACTGTCATCTCATCCCATCATCCTATTGTATGGCTGTGTTGTGTGTAATTGCATGTAGTGCTATAGCTGGACTATAAAACTCGAATTTCGAAGTCGTGTGATTATAATTGATGATATGATTATGAACACGAATAAATTGTGTTCGAAACGTCATCCAGTAAATAATACTGTTTCACTGACTGTGTGATACATCTAATAAACAAACTAATATGGAATTAGCTATTATTTCACCCTGTAGTTGACTGTTACGGACCCAAATAAAAATCAGTGGTCCAAAGAAGAATTATGTAACATTAATTACCATCTGCGAAAAAGTTGAATGGTGGTCATCATTTCCTAAATGCAAGAAATCTCTTTGGAAAATTCCTTCCATATTCCTTAGTATTTTTTCTGACGTTTCGATATTAGAGAGGTTTGGTAAATAAGTGCTTAAGTATAAGTCCGTAAAGTTAGTTTAAAAAGTCGTTTAAAATATGCACTAATCAAACCTTGCTAACACACAAAAAGCGTTCTTTCTCATGGTATCTATTTATCAACTGCCGGTGCTTCGCATCATTGACAAAACTTATATGGTGTTAATTTTTGTATGCTTACTAAAGCAGTCTTGGTGCTGATTTAGGTTACAGTTTTCATCATGCGTTTTTGGAGCCCGTTAACTTTAAAACGTCATCTAGATATGACATGTTTATTAGTCTTTCGAGGTACTTACTTTTTCACATGAAGATTGACATAGTGATCACACTATAGGGCATGTGAAGCCATCGATTTTTCATATTTCAGGGTAGTTTGGAAACAAAACGTGATCTCTCTCTATGACTTATCATGGCATGTACTCTTTAAATTGACTTCACTTCTCGAACTTGGCTTAACTCTCTTTTCGAATGTGTCTGTAATAGCCACAAGACAAGTCTGAAGATTTTATTGATCCAGATAATATACGCTTTTTAGTCCTCGTCATCAGCTACACTCTCCTACCTACTACACAACCACCTTTGAAACGAATGGACTCAGATGGGCATCAGTTGTTTATCAACACCAGGTAACAAATTTGCCCCTAAATACAGGTAGATTTGAAAATTCTGAAAAGTAAAATGAATTTGAAACACTTCACTAAGTAATACGGTTTCAGTGTTTAACCAACTACCTATTACAGAGTCGGAGAATATCAGGTATTCAGTTTCCATACTGAAATGCAGTTGTTTTACACTCATTTTCTCGAGTGGAGTCGTAGCGAAAATGTTCGGTTTGTATTCAAAATATTTGTAATTACTACTTACAATCTATAGGTAGGACGAACAATTGGAGGAAATCAAACCTATGGAAATGTTGTAGCTAAGTATTATATCGTTATGTTTGGTGTAACTTACAGTATACTTTTGCAAGCAAACTCGTTTTATTAAATATGTGTAATGAATTAAGAGTCAAACCTCTTAGGGGAGCCCAAATTGCCTGGCTGAGGTTGATATGGCCTCTACGGTTAAACTTTGTCACCTTTGAATCAGTCGTAGAGGCACAAATACATTTGGGCACATATTTGGACCTTGTAGTTCTGAAGAATTTTAGGCTTGTATTTTGTACCTTCAAGGTAGTTTGTAATCCTGTATTGACCATTATTCGGTATATTTGTGTGTGTGAGTGATTTTCTGATATTTTAACTGACATTAGATTCTATTATAAACAGTTGATGCCTTGGGATTTCTTTCTGGACACCTTTTTCTCATCTTCAAGATTTTGTGCTTCTGTGTTTCACCACAAGGAATCATTATCTTTGGCGTTTTTTTGTTTTACATACAGGATGTTAGAATTTTTATGCTTAATATAAAGATTTTGAAATTTATATTCAGGCATTTCATTTGAACAGAACGACTTTTCAAACAGTTTTCCATCTGTTACTCGTGTATTATTCTATCACTGTCTATAGATCTGTTGCTCAGTATTTAGAGTGCTACAAATCAAACTTAAAAATTATACATATGAATTCTGTCAAGACAGTCAACTTTTTCTCAACACCTCGTATTGTTAACTTTACTGACAGTTGAATGAACTAACTTGCCGACGGTTTTCAAGTTACATTATTTTTTATAGATATTTTATATAAGGTGTCTGCCTGTCTTGTGTCAACCTTTTTTACACAGAAAGTTTCCAGAAATTTTAACCCAGTTGAATATTATTATTACTGGAAAAATCTGGCCACAAAGGGATGTATTTAAGGCTCTTGTCATTGTGAAATATCTTAGCGGATCAAATGTATCAAGTAATCTATCTATTGTAATTGATCTTGAAATGTTATAGGTGAGTTGATGAGAACTGTACAAACTTGCCTTGTAACTGGAAGACACTGGGTTCACACCTCCAGTAAAGCCCCAAGCTGGGACGAAACAGCTTTCCAGTTATTATTATTATTTCCTTGAGTTCCTAGTGGAAAAACACATCTCCATTTAGTCATATTTTCTACCGTGATTTTCAGCTTGGATTACAAGTGCCCATAGTCTCTCATCTTCTCCAATTCACACGAGCTCCTCCATGTCACCCTCACACACTGACGATGCACTCGTCGCTTCCCATTGGGATTCTACTTGATCAATAGCTTGCATTGGGCGCGATGTCATTCGATGGTCTCCTCAATGTGTATGCCGAATCCATCTGCATTTTCTCCTACATATTTGTTGAGTGACCGGCTCTTGTTTGGTTTGTTCCCAGCCAGAGTTTCTTGTTGCTAATTCTTTGTGGCCGACCATTTGATATTCAATATTGAGCCATCGAAGTGAGCAGTTGTTGATAAAATTCTGTAACTTGTTGGAAATCCTTTCCGTAACACGTTGGCCAATTTTCTGACCCGTATAGAAGACCTGACTGACTTGACATTGGTGTTGAAAATCCGAATCATGTTCTTTATGCTGAGGCGGAGTTCAGAAGATTTGCAAACAGGTTTCAGGTTGCCTTTACGATTTTGGTTGACTTTGACATCTTCATCCATTCCACTGGTCTGTGGTTGAAACGATGCTTCCTGGCTGGATAAGTAAAGGGGGTAACCTCTGTTAAATCTCTCCCGTTGATGGTGATTGGTGCTGGTTCTTGCTATTGTTGTTGTTTCTGTTGGTTGGTTATCTTCATCACCTCCGTCTTCTCTCTTTTTACCTGAAGTCCTTTTTTCTTTGACTCTTCAACCAGTTTGTTGGTTTCCACCTTTAAGCCTTCGAGTTTATGTGTCATTAGACATATGTAATCTGCAAAATCCAGATCACCTGGAGTCCTGTTATCGTTGGTCCAGAGTAACCCCCTCTCCTCGCTGCCCACAGTGTGACGCGTAATTCAATCGACCACATTTAGGAATGTCATTGGTGATAGTAGTGGGCAGCCAGGCTTGTCTTACTCCTGTATTCACTTTAAACGCCTCTCTGAGTTTTCCGTTTTGGATCTCCTGACACGTGGCACTTTCATAGGACCAGCTGTTGAGTGAGGTTGATAAAGACTTGGACATTGCACGCTGTAGTATTGAAGAAGTTTCCCAATTACTTCTCGGTTAACTTTGTCTGTCGAAGGCCTTTTCGAAGTCGTTGAGGTTGATGTAGCAAGAGGTTTGAGTGCCATTCTGTGCTTAGTTCTGTGATGACGATGTGTAAAGTTATGGTTCGATCAGCACATGATTTGCCTTTCCTGAATCCAACTTGTTCCGGACTGGCGGAGTTCTGTATCCAGTGCATCTTTTATTCTCTCTAGGATGACGCGACTTAGTAATTTACTTGGTGTGGGTGGACGAGAGCATTAGTCCACGCCAGTTCTTGGACAGACTTAGGTCTCTCTTCTTTGGCAGCTCAGTCAGTAGGCGCCTTCCCTTCCTTTCAAACCTTTTGTAATAATGGCGTGAGAACATCTGCCACAGTTTCTGGTTCCGTTTGCAGTGCTTGAAGGGGCGGGGGAATTCCATCTGGTCCTGCTGCTTTCCCAGCCTTCAGTAACTTGATCGCATTTCTGCTTGCCAGTACTCCCTGGTTTTCCAGTGGTTCTCTCTCTGATGTCACCTTGTGATCGAACCTGTAACCAATGAAATCCCTGAAAACCAACACTTGATAACTGTAGGAATTAGTTTATAAGATGTTACATAAATGTTATTGTGTGTGTGTGTAAGACTCTGTATAAGGACCACAAGCTGCTAAGTGTAAACTCTCGTGCCGGTGACAAATTAGTAGACTGGAATTACTCAATAACATTAAACTATGTGAAGAATTGTCTCAGCAGTGAAATTTGCAAGTGTTCCCGTACGTCGGTGTTTCAGTGGTAGGATGCTCGCCAGTCACGCACATGGTCAACGTTCGACTCCCGGACGACATCTAGTTTAGTAGCCAGTTGTAAATCCGAAAACGACGTGTGTGTGGGGGGAGGTTCATTATGAGTTGACCGACACCACCCGTAAAAACTGCAATATCACCAGTAGAACCTCAGAGTTTGAAGCCCTATACTCCAATTAAAACGAAAGGAATGAAAATAAGAATAGTACGAGATGTTGACATTTCAGAATGCGTTGTGCTTACTTTTGAATAAGAGAATCACTGTAACCTTTCATTTACCAAAGTTTTGTGTCGATGCCTTTTGTCTATCACTCACTGTATCGACACTCGTTGGTTCCAGTAGAATACTTTACGTGACCTTTACTTTGCATACCGCTTGTTATGTTACTTCTTTATCAATTATAATCTTGATGTTTTTGTTTTCAGTGATATTTTTGTTCTGTGGTCGACTGACTATACTACTGCAGTTGTTGCATAACTCTCTATATATTTGTATGCACTGTGAAGAAGACACTAAATGAGTGGCGGCAAAGAAAATCCTTTCAAGCATCCTAGGCGAAATACTCAGATGGGTATGTTTATCTGATTTTCACTTTTCGAATAATAATAGTAATAATGACTGATTGAAGGAGGCCTTCGTGTGCTTTCGCAAGTGTGTGTGTGTGTGGGGGGCGCTTGTCACCCTCCAGCCGCTCACACCGTAGGAGTTGGTTTTTTCTTGGGGTACCTGAGACAGAAAGAGGGTTAGTGTTGCATGACCCCAGAGCCCATGGGGACAACTGCTTGAAGCCGGTCACACATAGCCTGTTTCAACTGGCTTTTAAGTTTAGTTCCGTACTGGTAACTTATCTCTGGCTGCGGACCCCTGTAGAGCAAGTCGGAATGTATAATTTTGGGGTCGACCTTTGTTAATCCCCTTCTCCAGAGTGGAGAGACAACATAGCTGACATGCTGGGTGGGCATTTCAGGGAAATACCTTATTACTGTTACATCCCTGTTCTTCAGCAGTATGACTTTACCCATAGACTGCCAGCATAGTGTATACAAAATCTTACACTGCACTTGTAACTGCTCTTAGTCTAATCGCTATCCTAACAATCTTCCTGTCATGGTAGGACCTGCAGGAACATTAATTCCAGCCAGTGTAGCTTGTTGGTGGGTCATTGCGATATGCAAGCCCGACGACCACGTCAAGGTAGCAGCTATCGTTCGGGATCAATAATACTGACGATGAAATTACTTCTTGTTTTACTTTATTTCCTAATTACTGGAGTCAACACGTACTGCTGAATATTTATAATAATAATGGAGTTCAGGTTTTCTGTCTTTCGGGGTGTTTAACACATGTTTGTAGATTATCGCCAACAAAAGTCACGAATCAAATGAGTCTTCTCATCCATTGCACAAGCCAGAGTGTTAGCGACCTTCGTGAAACTCCTTTTATATTGTTATCAATTGTGTGATTGTAAGCAGTTGAGCGTATAATACTGTTATGCTGCTAGTTTTTATGTAGACTCACTCACCGTCCGGTTTTTGGTAACAGTACCTTTTTCTGGTTGATGTTTCCTTTATTTGTATATATTATTATTATTATTCACTTGTCGATTAGCCAGTAGAACGAAGGGTGTCAACAGGACATCTGCACTCCACTTTATTCTCTGCTGTGGTGTATTTAGCTGGCCCTAAAAATGTCTACTCCGCTTCACATGATCTCCTCCATGTCATACTCTGACGTGTGCCTTTCATCATTACCCACTCGGGTTCCATTCCAGGGTCTCTCGCATGTGATGTGTGTGACTCAACAGTCTCTTCAGCATATGTGTTCAATTCATCTCCATTTCTTTCTGCATATTTCTTTGGGTAATTGGTAGTTAGCTGGTTCACTGCACTGCTAGAGTCCCCTGTAGCTTATCCCCTCTGATCGATCGAAGAGGGCAGGTGCTGATGAAGGTCTGTAGTCTGTGACACGTGCACTAAGACTCTGAAGCATATGGAAACAGCCACTTGACATTAGTACTAGAAGTTCGGATTTTTATTCTTTGTACTGTAGTGCTGTTTCGATCCGATTCAGACTGGTTCTTGATTTCATCATCTGTGCCGCCTGTAATTGACAGGACGCTCGCTGTCCAGGTAAGTGTGAAAGGGACGCAAATTCGTTTAGATTTCTCTCATTGATGACGTTTGGTGCTTGTTGTTGTTGTTGTCGGTCGGTCGATCGTCTTCATCACCTCTATCTACTCTGTGTTCACCTGAATTCCTGTCTGCCTCTTCTACCAATTTGTTGGTTTTCGTTTGTAAATCTTTAAAATTAATTAGTGCAACACATAAGACCATTAGTGATCCAGATTCTCCAGTGTGCCTTAATTTCACCTACTACTATTGCATACTGCTGTTCAGTTGTATTAAGATTTTTTTCTTTTGTCTACTGGCTTGTTTGTTTCATACTTCTAGGTGTTCCACGTCAGTTGAATACGGGGACAACTCTGAAACGTTACGTAAGCAGGCGCTTCGTTTATTCGTTTATTCTGCTTTTTGTAGGCATCATATTCAAGAGAGAAACCAACTACTGTTGATCAGTACAATAATCGGATTGCAAAACACCAGTCTTCTCCAAAATCGGGAGCTAATGTTCCATTAATCATAAATGTAAGTTTATTGTTTGCCTGTCTACTTGTCTGTTTTTTTTGATGTCAGTCATAATATTCTAAAAGATTTCTGGACTGATTATATCTATCTGGGTTCGAGCCCTGGCAGTGGGTGCGTACTGATGAAGAGTCCCAAACTACTGGGACGAAACAGCTCTCCAGTACTCCCAGGTTTTCCAATGGTCCTCTGTACCGTTATTTGGGGGAGGGTGAGGTGTTTATGTGTGCAATATAGATTGACAACAAAGGTCAAAGGTTATTGTCAGTTCATAATAAAGTAGGCCGAAGTGCATGAGTAATAACTATGTGTGAAAAAATTAGAAATAGTCTTACGTAATCGAAAGGGGTGACACCTGATTACTTGAGTAATGAATAATCGCTTTGTTACAGGATTTCATCATTAGCTGACATTGGTTAGAGAACCATTGGAAAACCAACTGGGAGTACTGGACAACTGTTTCCCCCGTCCTAGTTTGGGACCCTTCAGCAGTACGCACCCACCTCAGGAGGTCGAACCCAGGACCTTCTGCTTACAAGACGAGCTAGCTCGTACTCCATTCAGCCAGTTACCATTGGATCGGGGTCCCAGTGACTTAATGGTCAAGTCAGTAAACTTTGTTTTGATACCATGACAGATGTACTATTACCTTTGTTATTTGGTTTAGTGATCTTCATTGGTATTTTAACTTTCAATATGTCCTTTTAACTTGACCTAAGTCTATTTTCTCACACCCGAACTGTTTGTTATATATATATGCTGAGATTTTGTAAATTCTGATTTAATAATACTTTGATAAAGCTATTAGCAACAGCATTAAATAGCGAAACGTCAGTAAACACACAACAATATGGTTTTGTTTTTCATTCATTGGGAAATACAAGAAAACCTTTATTATAATGAATATCATATTCCCGATGCCCAAATTTTTTCAAACTGTTAAAAGTGAACTTGGTTTGGACATATATATCTCCAGCATAATATTGTATGAATTCGTTCTGTTGACCTGTCCTTGTTTCTAACCCCTCTTGTTTTAACACTGCTTGCGTCATCTTCGGAATTATGTTTTCTATGCTTTCTATCTGTAGCTCAAAGTCATTTTAAAATGTATTTTCGGAAATTTTGTAACTTATGATTGATTTTGTTTGGGATATATAGCAGTTGAAGAAGGTCGTATTATCCTGCAAGTGTACTTTTTTTCCTTCTTCATTCAAACTAATAATAGATTGGAACCAGTTGTATAAAAGCGTCTATCTGATATTGACAGACCTTCGAAAGCTTTACTCCATGCCATGGTCTATTTGACTAGTGCACACAACATAGAACTTAAAGGAAGGAAATATATTATCATAGATTATTTCAAAATTCCATTGTGTATGTACGTTCATGACCCCCAGTGCTACTTCTGATAATGTATAGAACTTCGCAGCAATTCACTTTATCCTTCTTAATGGCTGTGCAATGTAGCCGTTAAAAGTGAAAGATACGAAGAGGTTAGCTGCCTTGTAACGACAGAAGACAAGGGCCAGGCAACAGATCGTTTATTTTGAGAAAATCAACAGATACTTATAGATTTTTATATATATCATTATTAGCAACAACAACAACAACAGACAAAAATCAGCCAGCATAAATGGGAGGCACCTGAAAGAAACAACTTCCTTTACCTACCTGGGAAGCATCGTTTCAACTACAGGCGAACGGAACTGACGAGGATATCAAAGCAAGAACCGGAAAAGCAAAACAAGCTTTCATTACTCTCAAGTTTGTTTGGAGGTCAACAGAACTCAGCTTGAAAATGAAAATAAGATCCGGATTTTCAACTCCAATGTGAAGTCAGTGCTACTATACAGATCAGAGATTTGGCGCGTCATGAAGAGCATCTCAAACAAACTACAGACCTTCATTAACAGTTGTCTTCTCTCAATACTTAAGATCAGATGGCCGGTCAGAAAAGATCAGCAACAGAGATCTCTGGCAATGAGCGAACCAACCCAGCAGGAACCGATTGTGAAACAATTGGGCAGGAAGAAATGGAGATGGATTAGCCATAATCTGAGGAAACCATCAAGTGACATCACTAGACAAGCCCTCGAGTGGAACACGACAGAATGGGAAGCGGCGAGTTGGTCATCAGTGAGAGGGTGACTTGGAGGAGGTCATGTGAAGAGGAGATGAAAGCGTCTGGGTAGACTTGGAGCCAGGTGAAGACTCTAGCAGAGAACCAAACGCAATGGAGACGCACGGCTGAAGCCCTATGTTCCTCTAGGAATTAAAGGAAATAATAATAAATAATAATTAGTGTTATTGTTAGCAGAGAAGCGACGTCTTCTGATTGGTTGTTTTCTTGGTGAAGGTTATTCTGTCATCTCTTTGTGGCCGTTTCTTAGACAGTCCGGTGATATACCTGCGAATCGTATCCGCCCACGCAAAGTCTGCTGTGATTGGTTGTTGAGTTCGTCAAGGTTAGGCTTTGTTCTTGTTTTTTCTCATGACCAAGATTTAGGACGTAAACGTTGACGTAAATTGTTGTCTACAATTTTGTCTTACAGACAACTCTCACCACAAACTGACTGTCTTTCACCATAGGTGTCTGTGTCCTATCTATCTATATATCGTGTTATATTGTATACTATTGTCGCGGACAGTAAGGTTTGACGTATAGTGTTAGGCAAGGAGGGGAAATCAGTTCATGAGAGCTGGATATGAATCTGTATCGATTGCAATGGCTAGGGTGTTTCACACATGCGGAGACATCATCGTTATCTCCGTCGAGCAATGTTAGCTAACATAGGACTTGGGTTGGAAAAGGATTAGCGATGATCAGACGAAAATATTAACGTCATGATGAAACCTTGACTGCTGGTTTCAGCCATGATAGGAACGTGGAATCGTCGTGGAAATCGATGGTGACATGGCTTGAACTCGTTTTGTGATCTTTGAGATTCGCTAAATTCTAAGTATCATCCGCGTTTATTTATTTATTTTATATTTTATTTCTTTACGTTTTTAGTGGAACATGGAGCCTCAAGGTGTTTTTTTTTCACCGATCTTATTACCGGCTTAACGAGGTTTAGGAGCGCGTCAGCCGGGAGTCGAACATCCAACCCACCTCACCACCTGTGCATGGTTGGCCAGCATTCTAGCGCTGTGCCACCGACGCCCTGTCATTATTGATCATCCATGTGATTATTCCCTTTCTGTTCACTCCGTCAGGTTTGACGGAGTAGCTGTGAAACCTTTTGGGTTCCTTCACTGTTTAGTTGACGTTAATATTGACGTTAGGCGTAGAGTGTTGGGCAAAGAGGGAAAATCAATCGAAGAGGCTATAAAGTTACATAGATTGAGATGGCTAGGTCACGTGCTGCACATGCCTAACCATCGCCTCCCCCGACGGACGGGCATTACTAGCTGATATAGGTGCAGGTTGGAAAAGAGTAAGTGGTGGCCAAACAAAAAATTCATGGCATCAATCAATCCATGAAATCCTTCCTGACAGTTAAACTGAGTCAGGTAGGGAGGGAGATGCGGACTTCCAGGTTGGAGCCCGCCCTCGGGACTCTAAGAATCAATGGGTGGAGACAATAGGTGGTGACATGGCTCAAAATCGTTCGTTGTCAATGGCTTACGTAGATGTATTCAGTCTCTTGTGTAATCTTTCATATTCCTTTCTACGATTACTCATTCTGTTTCACTCTTATACTTGTCAAAACCCTATTGATTCTCCACACTCATTTTCTTGTCTACCTTTGTGTGGTATTTGGAACGTGGCAACTGGAACTGGTGCACTTCGGTGCCAAGTTCTATGTTGAATCCAGACAGACAGACACTGTTTAGTGGGGGGAGGGGTTCTTGTACCTTTTCAAATCATCGGAAATACCCTGTTTCTAAAAATCTCTTATTAATAAAATTGACTGTTGTTCTGTTTTAATACTTTTAATTATTATTTTTATTATGGCATAGGATTCAGTAGCCTCAATAATTCATTCACCAAACAGTCAGCAGCATGGCATTTCAAAAGGAAACACTTCAGATAAACAACAACAACAGAATTCTTCACGTGCAGTTTCAGTAAAATCAGAAGAATTAGAGAGGAGTGCCTCGACCACATGCTCTGATGATCTATCATTGGCTGTATACTCCCTGTGGTTGTTGTATCAGCGTTGTACATCAAGTTACATTGTAAACAAAATACAATCTGATTATGTAAGTCTAATGATTCATTGATTTGTTGTTGTTGAAAGATTTAGTGTTTTTTTTTCAGATTTGATCATGGATATTGATATCAGTTAGAAAGAAGTGTTAATTAAAAACCACCACTGGACAACTGTTTCATCCTAGTTTGGGACTCTTCATCGGTGCGTGCGCATCGGAGGGGGGCGGAGGCGAACCCAGGATCTAAGCTTGTAGACCATTCAGCCACTGGGAGCCTAGTCCTCAATGGGGCCAGTCGATGAATTCTAACTTATATCAATCCGTGAACAAACTTGAAACGAAATTCAATCCTTACTAACTAACTAACTCTGGAAAATTAATCTGATGCTCACTAGTGACTGGCTGACTGTAGGACACGAAGTTGCCTAGAGTTCTAGTGAGAAGGCGTGACTAGTGGGTGGCGCCCAGTCGGCAGTGAAAACAAACACTCGCCACGGATAACATTGGTTGGTGGTTGCCCTAAAATCATCAACTGGTAGAAGTTAGAATTCATGAGTTTGCTACTGGATCGAGTCCCGGCAGGTCTTGGTTTGAAACATGGATTTGTACTGTTGATGAGTCCCAGACGTGGACGAAACGGCTGTCCACTACTCCGGGGTTTTTCAATGATTCTCTAATTGATATCAATCCGTGATCAAATTTGGATTTCTTCCGTACTCATTCAAACGTGATGCTCAATTTTATTTGAGAACAGATGTTAAACGGTTTGTGCTATTTTACCTAGAAAAAGCCTTCTAAGAAAGCAAATATATAAAATTGTTAGTGGACCCAACAACTGATAACTGTGCTACCTTGATATGTTGGTTGGGCATGTTCCTGTGCCTAAATCATCAAGTGGACCAATTGTTAGGTTTAGAGTTATTGCCATTACTTCACCTTCTTTAAAAAAAATTGTAAAAAGACTGCTTCTACGTAACCTCTAACCCACATTGAAGGCTTTTAACGACCTTAATCAATTTGCTTATAAACATAGTAGGTGTACTTTAGATGCCACTGTCGTCTTATATCATAATATTGTCTCTAATTTAGACAGAGGTGCCAAATATGTTCGGTGTACCCCTTCCTAGATTACACAACTGCCTTCAACTCTGTACCTAGGCCTCTTTTGTTAAACAAGCTTGCTGCGAATTAATTTATGTGAAAAATTTGGGCACTGTGGTAGTAAGTAATTCCATATTAGTTTGTTTATTTGACATATCACACAGTGAAACAGTATTATTTCCTGGATGACAAGGTTTCGAACAAAATTTATTGTTCATAATCATACCATCAATTATAATCACACGACTTCGAGACTTGAGTTTCATAGCATTCTTTATTCTCGCCTATTTGTCGTCGTAGGAGTAGTAGAATTTTCCAGATATCCAGCTGGATAGGTGTTGAATCATTCCTGTTACTTATATATTTGCAGTCGATTCGATAAACAAAGCTTCCGTTGTTATCAATCTCTCCCTCCCTCCACCCTGCTGTAACATTAGATTTTAAAACTGTCATCTTATCCCATCATCCTATTGTATGGCTGTGTTTTGTGTAATTGCATGTAATGAGTGCTGCAGCTGAACTATTCTCCAGATTTCTTGTCTTATTCGGGTCAACCAATCTAGATTTTGCTTGGTTTTTATGTTCGGCTAGTCTGACTGCCCCTGTTCTACTAGTTTGACCCATGTATTTGACCTGACAATCATTCCAGCAGGGTATTAAATAAACTAAATTGTTTTTTTTGAATTAGCTTCACATGACTGATCCTTTAACCGACAAAGCTTGTTTCTAATTGAGTTTGTGGTTGGTTTGAATGCCAGCCACTTTTATTCCTGCCTGGATTGTTAAGAATTCTCCACCGTAAGGTTTCCGAGATTCCTTCCTTCTATGGAATTACTACTGATGATTTAGATTCCTTATTGTTGGTGTCGTCATTATTATTATTATTGTTATAATAATTATTACTATCGCTACCATCACTATTTATTTTGTTTTTCTACATTTCCTTACATATTTCCTGACTAGTTTATCCGGGTAATTATAAAGTTTCAATGCTTCTTTTATGTATATCGCTTCCTGTCTTAGATTTTCTTTGGTGCTACTTAGTTTTTGTGCTGTGTCACTTAAGCATTTCATCAGTCCTATTTTTACTGACATGGGATAGGATGATCGGAATTCCAAATATTTGTTTGAATGTGTGGGTTTCCTGTAAACACTAGTGTGCTTAACTTCCCATCTTCTTTCCTTTTTACGTTGCAATCTAACATTAGGAGCTCCCTTTCCTAATTTTCCAATTCATTAGTGAATTGAATTGCTTCAACATTCGAGTTAATGTGTTCGAAAAATCTATCTATATCTTGTGTTCTAAGTACAGTGAATGCGTCATCTACATACCTCCACTATACTTTTGGGCTGGGGGTGAACGTTTCAATCGATATGCTTCCCCACCTATCCATGAATATATCTGCTACAACTGCTTGCTGCGACACAGGCAGAGTGCTGGACTACCAAGTGGTTGCATTATTATTTTATGATATGAAGAAGCTCGACCGATAGCTGCTACCTTGCCGTGGTGGTCGGGCTTGAATGCCGCAGTGACCCAACAAGCTAAACTGGCTGGGACTCATGTCCCTGCAGGTCCTACTATGTCAGGAAGGTTGTTTGGATAGCGGTTAGGCTAAAAGCAGTTACTATGGGGTACATGGGCTCCAGAATTCAATCGGATCAAATGGCGTATGAACCCATATGGGTCACCGGCAACCATGGGAACGCAGCTCCTGACGCTGCTCCACTGCCTTGCGAATTAGACTCCAAGTCAAAGGCTAGGGGGGTGGTCCCTTAGGAAAACCACCTGCTTCGGTCTGGGCACCCGGGCAGTATCTCAGCCGTCACACAATATTGTGTGGCGCATCTTTCTTGGTGCCATATTGTACCAAGTTTTTCTGCGTTTAAATATATATATATATATATATATATATATATATATATATATATGAAGAAGTACACAGTTTACAATGGGATATCCTCCACTGCTTCACTTACTCTAATTGGTATTACTCACTCAAGGCACTGTTCTTTCTCCTTTTCTATTTTCCTTCTTCTTACATGACTTGCCCCATTCTGACGAAGCCAATGTTGTTAAGTATGTTGATGATCTGACTGTTTCTATGCCGGCGGTTACTTCTCAGTCAGATTATTCCAAAATGAATAACATTTTTTTTATCAGAAATTAGTCAGTGGTCCTTGTCACTTGGTCTTAAGCTAAACCCCCCCAAATGTCAGTCAGGTTGTTAATTTCACTTTCAGATGCAAGAGCGATTTACATGTACTGGTTAGTTCGCACGGTTCCACAATCATAGATGGCAAAGAAGTTGAAACTAAGTCGAATGTTAAATATCTTGGACTGTGTATTTCCTCTGATCACCTTTCCTGGTCTTCCCACATTATGTTGGTTTCCAAAAAGATATTTCGTTTGACGTTCTGCATAAGGAAGTTAAGAAGAAGTGGTATCACTTAGTGTCTACTGTTACAGTTTTGTTAATTCCTGTATTCTACTCATGCTTCTTTACTGCACCCCCCCTAGTCTTTCGTGGGCTACTTGAGAAAGACTTTATTATACTGTGAAGGGCGTTAAAAGCCTTCTAAACACTTGATGTCATGTTGTCGAATATGGCAATGGTATACAATCATTTACTAGACTGTTTCTCTTGATTTTTTGGCAGTTTATCTACTGCCTTTGGATGTATCCTAATTGTTGGTGAATGTTATGCATTGATCCCTTCTTGGATATTACGTTCCGATAACTTAGTGAAGTCATACTACTCTTTGTGTTGCTATTATGCTTTGGAGGCAAACTTGGTATAGTATAGGGAGGCGTAGAAAACAGAAAGAAAGACAGCTAAATCTGGGAGGGATATCTTATAAGACTACTCCACGAATCTTTCACTTGACTTCTAATCCATAAAGTAACAGAGCGACGATAGGTGCTGTATTCCTACAGTCGCCGGTGACTAAAACAGATTCATACACCAGTTGTTTCTTTCGGATCCTGGAGTTCATATGCACCATAGGTGTCTGGGATGAAGGTTTTTACGGATTCCTTAGGTAGACTTTCCACACCAGTTATATAATCCGGTCATTAGCGCTGAACATCCACATTCACCTTTTTACTTTTGTATGAACATCAGGTGCTTCTGAGTGGAGACAGTCAATTGAACCTATCTTGTAGAGGCTACTTACATGTGACCACCTGTAGGTAATTTGAGGGAGAGATGAGGACCTGTACACCCTTAACCATACAAATATATTTATTAACCATGCTTGGTTATTTATTGTCTTGCCCTAAATATGTCTGATCATTAGGTGCCTACGTTCTATCTCCCGTTTGAAGTGGTATAGTAGGGTAAGCAATACTGAGGTTATGCGTCGAGTGCTAGGGGGACAAAGTTGTGAAGTTACATCGACTGAGATGGTTGGGACATGTGTTACACATGCCTAGCCATCTACCGCCTTCCTCGACGGGCGATGTCAGCTGACATAAGGTCAGGTTGGAAAAGAACCAGTCAAACCAAAACATGGCTTCATCAGTCAATGAAATGCAGAACAGTTAGTTTAAGCCACATAGGAAGGTGTAGACTTCCTGGTTTGGGTCCTCGAGACGGTAAAATCCAATGAAGGCTGAAGACAATCGGTGATTTGGCTGAAAATCGTTTTCATTGACGGCTGGTGCAGATGCTTCCACTCCTTGTGACTTATAATTTCTAATAAAACTATATTTTTCTTCGTTATTACTATTCCTTTTATCTCATATCCCTGTCTACTGTCTTTATTTTGCATTTCTTCTCTTGCTTTGTGTGCTACAAGGAGTGGAGTGTGGCGACTTGAACTGCTGCACATCGGTGCAAAGTTCTTTGTTGAAAACAGACAGACAGATGCTATCAGTTCTGATACCATCATGCAGGCGGCCAGCTTAACACGTGGACTACCGAAAACCTACATCAATATATTGCATATAATTCCGCTTATTCAGTTTAAGTCTAATGAAATATGAGTGCATTTCGGATTGTGAGGGCGATTATTACTTCCCGGCTGCCCACACCGTGGAAGTTGGTTGCGCGACCGCAGGAGCCCACGGGACAACTGCTTGAGGCCGATCACACGCGGCCTGTTTTTGTTTGTTCTTTTTTGTTTGATGTGTCTCAGTAGCATATTTATCACTTCTGCCCTGTGACACGGCAGCAGGAAGCGCGGTAGTTGTTAATCTGGGCCCCGACCAATCCGGCATGATATTTTGTGAATTTGTTTGAATCATATTATTGGATTGGGTAACTGCTTTTTGTCTAACCGCTATCCAAACAACCTTTCTGGCATGATAGGACCTCAAGCGACATAAGTCTCAGCCAGTATAGCTTGTTGGGTCATTGCGGTGTTCAAGCTCGACCACCACGTCAAGGTAGCAGCTTTCGGTCGTAATAGTATCGTACCCGTATAGTATCGTTTACTTTGGTGAGCAATTAAAACATTTGCAATTATTAGTGTTCTCTGACCTGGTTGGTTTAGTTGCGGAGTTTTCGTCGTCCTTCTGGACAACATTCCCCTTCAGCGGTATATTTAGCACAAAGTGAAATGATTTAAATTTCTTCATGAGTGATATAATTGCGTCTCCCGGTAACCATCTTTACATATGTATTGACCACTTTCTATTGACTTGTATTTTAAACTTTTTGGTCACCTGATTTACTTTTTATTAGTTGGTATATGTCGTCTATATTAACGTGTTTGTTAATTGCATTTTCGTTTGAGTACCAGGCTTCTAGGAATTCCCTGGCACTTTTGGTGTTTCCTCTGTCTAAGATTTTGACATTATCCCAATCAAACTGATATCCATAACTGTTTACATGCATTGATATGAAAGAATATATATCATATCTTTTCACAGCTGATTTGTGTTCTTGGATTCTAATTCGAAGGGGACGCCCACTTTGGCCGATGTAATGCCTGTTACAGTTCATACAATTTATTTTGTAAATGGTATTAATTTTATCTCCTTTTTCTGTTGGATCTTTCGGTTTGCATAATAACGAATTAAGCGACTTAAAACATATATAGCCTGCTTGATACTCAAGTTCCTACTAAACATGCGGTAAAACATTGTCCTCGATGGCAGCTTATCGCATGAATGGTGTCCTTGGTTCACACAAAATGTACTCCTAAACTTTTTATGATTGGCATTCAACCAAATGTCGTGTAATTCTTGAAGGAGAAAAAATATGAGATATCATCATCATAATGGATTGGTTTGTGCTTCAGGTCAAATAGAACTGTGTCAGACCACTTACTTACTGGCGATTAATCGTTTATTTGAAGATCCTAGACGAAGAGAAAATATCGTACAATAAGCTGTGCTGAGAATTTTGTACATTATGTAAACATTTAATTGGTGGGTGGTGACTAGCAGTGGAATTCAGGATGCACATTTCGTCCTATTTGGGACTCGTCAACTAGCTGAATGTACCTGCATTCCTCAGTGAGTGGTAATGTTCCCACCACTGAGGCTCAAATGCAGTGCCCATAGTTTCAAACGCCAAAGTGGTATCCACTAGACCACTTGGGCCACGGGTCATTTTGATTTAATTGAATAAACATTGTTCAGAATAAAGCCATTATTATTATAAATTATCATGTCAATAATGTAGTATTTTCAGAAAGGACATTCAATGCTTAAGTAGTACACTGCTACTGTTCTGTTATTGTACAGTAATACAAATATTACGGCTTTGATTGAATATCTGAGGTTACAATTTCGTTCTGTATACATGTGAAATTACACTCTTAGCTACTTTTGACTTTATGATATTTGATGGAAAAATGATGATGAAAAATCAAAAGAAGGGAAAATCAAACTTAACAAAATCGGAAAGAGAAGCTCTAATTAGTCTAAAACAGGATAAAAACATTGTCATCGCAAAAGCTGACAAAGGAAACTCTACCGTAGTTTTGGATAAATCTGACTATATCAAAAAAGTCACTGAACATATTCAGACGGGTCCATATGAGGAAATTAAGAAACCTGTAGTTATAATAACGAATAAGGTTAAGAAATCTACAGCAGAATTAATACGCAGAATGAAGCCGTCTCTGAGTGAGTTTAAATGGTTTAATTTAATGCCTAAAACTAATAATGATAGTAGAATGTTGTATGGTACTATTAAAATACATAAACCAGGTTACCCCATACGACCAATAGTAGACTTTAGGAATACCCCTACTTATGAATTATCAAAACACTTAGCTCTAAAATTATGCCGCATTAGAAATCGTTCAAACTCTAGATTAACTAATTCATATGAAATGAAAAATAAACTAAATGACATTTAACTAGAGAATGATGAAGCAATGGATAGTGTTGATATAACTAGTCATTATACTGATATACCAGTCAAGATGGCGGCCTTGGAAGCAGTAAAAAAAGAACTAACTGCAGATCCTGAACTCACTCATAGGACAAAGCTGCCCATTGAAGAAATTATTTTAGGGATTTATGCCTCACATCTGCTATCTTTAAATTCCAAGGCAAAATATATAGGCAAACTGAAGGTGTAGCAATGGGATGGATCACCAATATCCCCTATCATAGCGGATATATTAATGGACAGTTGGAAAAATATTACTCTTAATATGTTTAATCCTACTCCAAAAATATGGTGGAGATATGTGGATGACACTTTCACAGTGTTAAAAACAGAACATATCTCTATCTTCTTGACACATATTAACTCACTAGTAGAGGGAATAAAATTCACACTTGAATCGGAAAATATACAAGGAGAATTAGCTGTGATGTTAGATTGTAAAATAAAACGAATAGAAGAAGGTAAACTACACACTAGCGTTTATAAAAAACCAAATCATTCTAATAGATATTTAGACTTTAATTCATCTCATCCTTTAACTGTTAAGGCAGGCTTAGTTAAGTGTCTAACAAACCGAGCAGTAGCAATAAGTAGCACAAAAAAGACCTAAATGAAATAAAACAGATAGAAGAGGCGTTGGTGTTAAATAACTATCCTATAAAATTCATTAGGAAGATCGAAAAAAGTCAAAAGCAAAATTAAAATAATTGTGAAACTAGTAGTGATAACATAAATAAGAGAGAATATAGGTCATCCACTGTTATACCATATAAGGAAGGGACATCTGAGACCCTACGTAGGATTCTCAATAAAGCAGGAATTAGGGTGGCGTTCAAACCTACAAACTCACTCAGAAACAAGCTCTGTGGGTTAAAAGACCTGGTGGACCCAATTAAACAAAATAATATAATTTACAAAATGCCTTGCAATGACTGCGAGGTTAACTATATAGGTCATACTAGTAGATCGGGGGTAATCAGATTGTCGGAACATAAGAATTTAGCTAAGGTAAGAATGGTTGACCTCATCCTCGAAGATAAGTACTTTAGAAAATAGCTCAGCAACTGCACTACATGTATTAACACACAACTACACTAGGATGGGAGAGGGTTAATATTCTTAGAAGTAATCTATGTAGGTGGAGAGAGAGAGAGAGTGGTTGAATACTGAATCCTGGTTCATTGAGTCTACACGTAGCACATGCAACAGAAATGACTCAATGAAAATTCCAGAGATATGGAAGATATTTTTACCGCCAGTCAGTCAAATCAGAGGAGGATAAGAAATGATCTTAAAATTCTATTTCACTTCACGTAAATCATAACATTCTAACAAGTTACTTATTTATTTTGACTATAAAAACACTCGTCTTATTTCTCATCTGATTGTATTTGATGAATAACACTCACATTATTATTATTTCTGAATGTACGTTATCCTATATTGGTTGATTTTTGTTCAAATGTCTAATCATCAATTCCACTCATGTATAGAAATGAAGCAAGAAAGTTGTGTGAGTGAGTGACTTGATATGATTATGAGTGGCAGTAATAAATTGTGCTCGAAACGTGGTCATCAGTTAATATTATACTGTATAAAAACACTGTGTGATTTATCAAAATAAAATGTTATCCATAATGGAGTTATACTCTACCACCGCAGTGCCCAAGTTTTATACTTATATCCTCAAGATGTGGTAGAACTTCATGATAATTCATTTATTTAGATGACTTACCAGGGAAGGGCGTCCATCAATTCAGGCAGCAGCAGGACAGTTACCCGCGTGTGACATTGTCTGATTGTTGCGCTATAAATGTCGCTAATTGACAGAAGCTGGAATTCATGCACTGGCTATTGGGTCAGGTCCCAGTGGCTAAATAGTCTTCAAGGTCGCCTTGTCTTGTGTTCGAAACCCAGTTAGTGAGTACTGCTTGAGATTCCCAAACTGGGACAGGGAAAACGGTTGTCCAGTACTCTCTCCCTGGTTGTCTAGGTGATGTCAACTCGCGATCAAATTCCTGCTGAATTTTGTTTTGCAACGATACTACCCTATACTACTGATTGATTGATATGAGTAGTTAAATAGCATTCGCATCGAATTTTTCTGCTTTCCAACCAGATCAATCAGTAGTGTATTTCTACTCAAACCGATCAGGTAACGTGAACGGTGTTTATTTTTTTTCTTCTGGCTTTGCAAATGGAAGAACTCTGGTGATTCCTTAGCATGAAGTATGAAGTTTGCTTACAACGAATTGGATGAAATACACCTTTGATCTTCTGTTTGTTTGTTTGTTTCTTTGTTTATATCGTGAGTTGTTACTTTTTTTGTAGAAAAAAATTGAAATAATATCCAGCGACATAAAACGTTTATATGAGACGATAACTGGTTTGCAAAGAGCAAAATCAAATTGGGAGAATTGGTACAAGTCAGTGACAAATTTACACAATGAGGTAAAATATTTTTTAATTCTATTTTGTGTTTTTACGTTTTTACTATTTAACGCGTCATATAGTGTGATTTGAAATTTTAGCAAAAAAAATATACGAAAAAATTTGTAGAATCTGCATAATTCACACCCAGGGTAATCAACACTCCCGGTCAATAAACACACACAGAGCCAACGGTGATAGGATGTAGAGTAGTAGCTGCTGGGTATTAAGATAGATTACGTCCACCATTGCAAATGTAGTGATTGAACAAACGTCTTCTGTATGCAGAGTTCAGGGCTTATAGCAAGTGAATTGCCATTACTACTGCGGTTTAAAGGAGTCTCAGTCGTATACTTTTAGGAAGACTGCTTCGTATTCTGTAGATGACTTTGAAGTTTGTTTGGGGTGTAGTTTGGTCTCCGGAATTTATCAAATGTTCTAAGATAGTACTGCGGGGACATCGTTTTTCTCCTTTGTAAAACCATGCTGGTAAGTATCCGCTTTCCAAACATATCACCGAACACTTACCAGTATGGTTTTACAAAGGAGAAAATCGATGGCCCCTCAGCTCTATCTACGAACACCTGATAGATTCCGGATATCAAGCCACACCCCAAACAAACTTCAAAGTCGTTTACAGAATACAAAGCAGTCTTCCTAAAAGTGTATGAATCAGACTCCTTCAAACTGCAGAAGCTCATGATGAAAATCCTGTAACCAATCAAATCCCTACAAACCAACAGTTGAATATCAATGAGGTGCTCACTAGCGACTTGCCCTATTCAGGTAGGCAGTTACCTGGGGTTCTAGTGAGAAGTTGTGACCAGTAGGGTGCAGCAGGTCGGCTGGTGTGAGGACAAATACTCGCTGAAAACATTGGTTAGCGGTCGCGCTATGTCGTGAATTGGCAGAAGTTAGAATTCATGGACTGGCCATTGGATCGGGTCCCAGTGGCTTAATGGTATACGAGCTCGCCTTGTAAACCAGAAGGTCCTGAGTTAGAATCCCGGTGGGTGCATACTGATAAAGAGTCCCAAACTAGGACGAAACAGCTGTCCAGTACTCCCAGCTGGTTTTCCAATGGTTCTCTAACTAATGTCAGCTCATGATGAAAATCCTGTAACCAATCAAATCCCTACAAACCAACACTTGAATATCAATGGAAATTCACTTGCTCAGTCCTGAACTCTGCATACAGAAGAAGTTCGTTCAATCACTACATTTGCAATGGTGGACGTAATCTATCTTAATACCCAGCAGCTACTCTACATCCTATCACCGTTGGCTGTGATCTGAAATTCCCCAAAACTTCTATTCAATCAGAAATTGTGTACTGTGTTTGCAATCGATCTTTTGTTTTTGCACTGTAACACAGAATGTGAATGTTTTCTTTGTCATAAGGTTTTATCTAGACAGAGGGAGAGAAAGAGAGAGATAACCCTTTAGAATCACTTTGCTCAGCTTTACAGCAAAAAAACTTGAGCTCGGCGGGGAACCGTGAAAAAATCTTTCAGAACACCTTCATAGCCTAAACTGTTAGTACTCAGTTTACTTTTTATGCTGAGTGAAGCATAGATGGTGGGGCTTTCACACAGGTAGTGAGTTGCTGACATCATATCCGACCCTGCCCTCACTTTCAGGCGTACTACTTACTGGCTAGGCAGGGTTCAGGAGTAGTACGCGTCGACAGGAGATAAAATGAAGACTGTGTGTGTGTGTGGCTGGCGAATATTCTACGATTAGACCACATACTCAGTGGCGTATTAGTTGTTTTATGTTAGTTTTCAGGTTGTTTTAAAGTTCACATAAATCATCTCGTGTGGCATCTGATTTGATTGAAAACATCAGATGTCGTGAGCACGCTTTATCTTTCCTCTCTCTCTACATAAATAGGCGTAGCATCCTCTAACATCAGACGTAAATAATCCGCGAAGTCCAGATGCTTTAGAGTCTTTTTGTCGGTCTCACGTATGACTGTCTTCTCGCTCCCCACGATCTGTTGCTATAATCCAGTCCACCATAATCAGGAATATCATTGATGATAGTAGTCAGTCCTTATCTTACTTCTGTCTTCACTTCAAAGACTTTGTTTAGTTTTCCATAGTGGATCACTTGACATTTGGCGTCATAATCATCCTCATTGTAAAGCTGTTCAATTAGGTTGATATAAGTTAGTGGCGTTGACCGCGAAGTAATTTGGAAACTACTAGAGTACTACGGCGTACCCCAAATATTCATCAACCTTATTCAACAGCTGTACGACAACGGCACATGTCAAGTGATCCACAACGGAAAACTCAGCAAGGCGTTTGGAGTAAACACAGGAGTCAGACAAGGATGCTTATTATCACCAATGATATTCCTAATTGTGGTGGATTGGATTATGCGTCAGACAGTGGGAAACGAGAAGACAGGGATATCCTGGACCGACGTGAAGAACATAGAAGACCTGGATTTCGCGCGTGGATGATTTATGTTTGATGTCACACAAAACCGAAGACTTACAAGCGAAAACCGACAAACTGGTCGAAGAAGCAGCGAAGACAGGACTGACTCCAGGTGAACATAGACAAGAGGAGGTTATGAAAATAACCAACCAACAACAACATCAGCAGCAAAATCCAGTGCCAATCACCATCAACGGGAGGGATTTGAAAGAGGTTACTTCATTCACTTATCTAGGGAGCATTGTCTCAACTACAGGCAGGTGGAACGGACGAGGATGTCAAATCGAGAATCGGGAAGGCGAGGAACACATTCATCAACCTGAAACCAATCTGGAAATCTTCGTCACTCAGCATCAACAACAAAATTCGGATTTCCAATATACAAACGTCAAGTCAGTTCTTCTATACGTATGGATCAGAAACTTGGCGGGTCACAAAGAATATTTCCAACAGCCTGTTGCAGACCTTTATCAACAACTTACTGTCTTCGCTCTATACTACTGAAGATCAGATGGCCGGAAAGAACAAGAACCAACAAGAAACTATGGGAACAAACAAACAAAACAAGAACCAATCGCTTAACAAATATGCAGGAGAAAGTGGAAATGGATTGGACACTCGCTGAAGAGGCCGCTGGGTGACATCGCGCGTCAGGCTAGTGCTCGAGTGGAACTCGAAAGGGAAGCGGCGAGTGGGACGTGAGTGCAAGGGTGACATGCATTAGATCTTGTGAAGAAGAGTTGAAACAGTATGGACTAACATGGATGCAAGTGAAAAGTACAGCAGAAGACAGAAGCAAGTGGAGACGTGCAGTTAGAGCCCTATGTTCCACTAGGAAACCAAGGGAACAATAATAATTAATAATAAGCTTACGGCACTGTACTCCCATAGTGTTCAATTAATTTGTTGTACAAATGTAACAGAGGAGATCAAACAAAATCTCGTACAACCATGATGCTTATAATTCTTTTGTTATTTTCTTTGTTCTTTGAAGTATGACCTACTAACAGATTTAATGAAAACGTTAGAAATACCCGTAAATCATTCAGAGATTCATCCTTCGGATAATTCCTTGGATAGTCACAATGGCGGATTACTTCCCAGGCTTCAAAAATTAACACTTGAGAAATTCTCTCCACTTGTCAATCGTTTACCTATGAGAGGTATTCACTTGGATGCTTCATACACTCATAAAAATATATTTTGTGATCTACAACAGATCGGTGATCTTTCACTTAAGGTAAGAATTAATTCTTTTTTTATTTGGCATGTATATTTTTAACCGGGGGGGGGTGAGGGTTCACCCCCATCTGGTAGTAATTATTTGATGTGGTTCATTGGCGTTTAGTTGAAAAGGTTGCGGGTTCGAATCCCGTCCCGCCAACTTTAGTCTGAATAGTATCACCAGCTCTCACTCGATAACTAGGGCTGGTGATATCTTAGCACATAGAAAATCCTGGCTGGGATATTGCTTGGTCAATGGGATCAAAGCAGGTGGGTGTCTTAAGGGACCATACTTGCAGTCTGATCCACAAAGCAGTGGAACAGCGTTAGAGGCTGCGTTTCCCATAGTTACACGTGACCGGAACAGGTTCTTACACCATTTGACCTGTTCGGATTCTCGAGCCCATGTACACTATAGATTTTGAATCAGGGTTTACCAGCTCTTCTGGGTAGACCTGTGTGTTCAACAGTCCGGTTGTTAGCGCCAGATGTTGGAATTTTTCCTTTCACTTTTGTAAGGGACATCCTGGCCGCATGAAGGCAATAAATAGGTATTTACAGTCATCCGATAGACAAAAATGTTTCTCTTCTTTATTGAACTGAACTGAATTACCAATGTAGGACTTTGCCGAAAGTGTAACGATTTGAGTACTTGCACCACTGAGAATAATCCTGAGGTACGCCATCAACAACCTCCAGCCATTCGTTTTTGGCGTCTCGAGAGGACCGCATCCAGGTTGCCCACACCCTCCTATTTGCTACATAGGTGTTTCAGAAGAAGCGGTAATCTTCAGCCAACCCTTTTTATCAATAGTTCGTGGAAACGTGACGATCGTTGATTTGGTGTTGAAGGTCACCAGGTGAGGTAATTTATCCCTCCTCGAAATTTGTGCGTCAGTGGCACAGCGGTTAGGACGCTCGCCGACCATGCATATAGTCCGAGGTTCAATCCCCGGCCGACTCAAGCCTGATATCAATGGTCGGCCTGCTAAATTTGGGCTACCGATATAATGTGCTGAAAATTCCATACTTGTACCAAAATACTGTGTGGAATCAAGCTATAATCAAAATTATTATTATTATTGTTTCCTTTAATTCCTAGAGGAACATAGGGCTTCAGCCGTGCGTCTCCATTGCGTTCCGTTCTCTGCTAGAGTCTTTACCTGGCTTCAAGTCTGTCCACACGTTTTCATCTCCTCTTCACATGATCTCCTCCAAGTCACCCTTGCACTGACGACCAACTCGCCGCTTCCCTTTCGGGTTCCACTAGAGCGATGGCTTGTCTAGTGATGTCACTTGATGGTTTCCTCAGAGTATGGCCAATCCATCTCCATTTCTTCTTGCCTATTTGTTGCACAATTGGTTCCTCATGGGTTGTTTCGCTCCCAGAGATCCTTATTGCTGATCTTTTCTGGCCGGTCATCTGATCTTGAGTTGATGGACGTTTGAAGTTTGTTCGAGGTGCTCTTCATGACGCACCAAGTCTCTGATCCATCAAGTAGCAGTGACTTCACATTGGAGTTGAAAATCCGGATCTTATTTTTGATGATGAGTGCTGTTGACCTCCACACAGACTTGAGAGTAGTGAAAGCTTGTCTTGCTTTTCCGATTCTTGCTTTGATATCCTCGTCAGTTCCGTCTGCCTGTAGTTGAAACGATGCTTCCCACGTAGGTAGGTAAAAGAGGTAGTTTCTTTCAGGTTCCTCCAATTTATGCTGGTTGATTTTTGTCTGTTGTTGTTGTTGCTGTTGGCGGTGTTGCCCAGGAATCTTCATCACCTCTGTTTTCTCTATGTTCACCTGAAGTCCTATCTTTGATGCTTCTTCTGCCAACTTGTTGCTTTTCGCTTGCATATCTTCCAGTTTGTGGGAAATCAGACACAAATCATCATCGGCGAAGTCCAGATCCTCCAAGTTTTTTGTGTGAGTCCATTTTATGCCTGTTTCCTCGCTGCCCGCCACTGTCTGTTGCATTATCCAGTCTACTGCAATCAGGAAAATCATTGGCGATAGTAGGCAGCCAGCTTGTCTTACTCCCGTCTTTACTTCGAAGGATTCCGTGAGTTTCCCACTGTGGATTACTTGGCATGCAGCATTGTCGTACAACTGTTGGATGAGATGTATTATTGTCGGTGACACCCCGTTGTAGCGAAGTAGTTTCCAAATCGCCTCTCGATCGCCGCTGTCGAAGGTCTTTTCAAAGTCGATGAAGTTGAGATAGAGAGGTGACTGCCATTCCAAACTTTTTTCAGTGATGATCCGTAGTATGGCGATTGGATCAACACATGACTTGTTTCTCCTGAATCCAGCTTGTTCCGGTCGAATTTTTTCATCCAGCGCTTGTTTGATTCTCTCCAGGTTGATGCGGCTTAGTATTTTGCTTGGGATGGATAGGAGCATAATTCCGCGCCAGTTCTTGCATTGACTTAGGTCTCCTTTCTTTGGTAGTTTGACTAAGTATCCTTTCTTTCAATCCTCGGGAAGGAAAAATAAAAATCAATAAAGTTATTATGGTAACCGGAATTGTACAAGTCGTGGAACTCATCTTTTTAATTATTTTCTTGACTTGACAAGTAAATGTGTGATCAGATTGTTCGAAATGTATAGCGCTAATACATCACATTTTTCAAATAATCTCCGTCTTCTAATAATGCTATCAAAATTATTTTCTTTCCTCTAAGGAAACTTCCTTATTTGTTATTAAGTTTGATAACGGATTAATATCAGTTAGAGAAAAACGGAATGCCGAACAGCTGTTCCGTCATAGTATGGGACTCTTGGGCAGTGCGCACTCATAACCCCACCAGGGATCAAACGAAGGATCTTCAGGTCGCGAGGCCGAACTCGTTGACTCATCAACCACATGTGTCCGAAGTCAGTGACTTCTGTCAGTCCGCGACTGTCTCGTGACCATCAGTCAATAATTGATTCTGACTAGTGACTGACCACAGGGGAGAATTGGCTTGAATTTCTTGTTGGATATCGTGACCAGTGGAGTCCCCCCCAGTCGGCTGTGAAGGACAGACATTCGTCGATGACAATGGCTGACTGTCGCTCTGTGCACCAACTAATTGACAAAAGTTATTATTGATGAACTGGTCATTGGCGGTTGAATGGTCAACGTACTTAGCCTTGTAACCTGAAAGGCCCGAGTTTGATCCACAGTGGATTTGTGAGTGTATGTACCGATGAAGAGTCCCAAACAGGGACAAAACAGCTGTCTAGTACTCCATGTTGTTTTTTTCTGATCAAATTTGAAAAAGAAATGATATCTGCAAATCTTGGAAATAATTTTCTTTTCCTCTCCTCTCCTGTCCTCTCTAGTTTTCTGCATTTAATGAAGACGATATTAGTGCATTTGAAAAGTTGGCAGATGAAATTCAAAGTGTAGCTGTTCGCATGGAGCAAATGCATCCTTTTAAAGAAGCTAAGTATAAACAATTAACTGAATGTTTAAACAGTTTTCTTCTTAAAGCATCATTAACTTGTGAAAAACTTGAACGTGAATGGTTAGCTGAATTGAAATGAATTCATCATGTATGACAAGGATTATTATTATTATTATATATTATTATTATTTTTTTAAAACTTTATTTTACTTATTAATAGTCTTCACAGATTGTGAGAAAAAATGATGAATACATTTCATAACTTTATTTTGTTGTGATAAATGACACTCACATATTAGTAGAGTGGGTCAATCGTTTGAATCTGTTATCATTATATTTCTTGACCTAAAGGCGGCATTCGATTCTGTCGACCGAGAGGTTCTCTGGCGATGCTTGGCTGTAAAGGGAATGCCGAGAAAATACATTGCAGTGATTAAGGCACTCTACTCGTACTCATGCAGTCAGCCAGGTGAGGGCTTATGGCGAGTTGTCATCTGAAGTGGTGACGACTAGTGGCGTCCGTCAAGGATGCTCATTATCCCCATTTCTATTCAACTTCATCATAGATGTACTAATGGACTTAACCCTAACTGTTGACTTCAGCGACTCAGGGATTAACTTGCTACCAGGGAACAATCTCGTTGACTTAGAATATGCAGATAATATAGTCCTTCTAGGCGAGGACGCTGACAAAATGCAGAGTCTTCTGAACACCTTGAGGGGCAGCAATCTACGAATGTTTGGCATGCGATTCGTCCCTGTAAAATGTAAGATGATGATGATGCAGGATTGGACTTCACCGACCCCTAGATTAGAAATAGGGAGTGAAGTGGTAGAGCACGTTGACCGCTTCACTTATTTGGGAAGCAACATCAGCCCCAACGGGATGATCTCTGACGAAATCTCAGCACGGATACAGAGGGCCAGTTTCGCATATGCCAGTTTACGCCGTCTCTGGCGTAGACGCGATATCCGGTTATCGACCAAAGGGCGGGTGTACTGCTCATCAGTCCTCTCCGTCCTCCTTTATCACTGAGTGAGACCTGGCCATTGAGAGTGGAGGCCATGTAAAGATTATCTGTGTTCGATCATAGGTGTCTGCGTTCTATCTCCCGTGTGAACTGGTATAATAAGGTGAGCAATATTGAGGTTAGGCGTCAGCGGAGTGCTAGGTAAGGAGGGGAAATCAATAGACGAGACTGTGAAATTACAACGACTGAGATGATTAGGACATGTGTTACGTATGCCTAGTCATCGCCTTCCTCGACAATGGGCAATGTTAGCTGATATAGGGTCAGGCTGGAAAAGAGCTAGCACTTGGCGGTCAAACGAAAACATGGCCTCACCAGTCAATGAAATCCACAACAGTTAGCTCCAGCCAGCCACGTAGGAAAATGTAAACTTCCTGTCTTGATGGGGTCCTCGGGATGGTAAAAGCCAATGGTTGGAAACAATAGGTGATATGGCTCAAAATCGTTCTCATTGATGGCTGGTGCAGATGCATCCACTCCTTGTGACTAATGATTTCCAATGAAACTGTTTTGTTCTTCTTTATTACTATTCCTATGTCGCACACCTCTGTTTACTGTCTCTAATATGCATTTCTCCTACTTTCTTCTCTTGCTTTGTGTGCTACAAGGAGAGGAGTGTGGCAACTTGAACTGCCGCACATATGTGCAAAGTTCTATGTCGAAAATAGAGAGACAGACAGACTGTTATCTCCTATGTACTCTTATATATACTGCAATATGCATGTATCCTGTAAATATATCACTACTTTATTGCATCAGCGTAGACGTGTTTTGTTACCTAATTATGCGTTTTCATTACATATCTTTGAATACGACTATGATTTATCTACACTGGTCTGTCTGTCTATCGCTCTGTCTGTCTGGGTCTCTACTCGTTTTCACTAGTCATCATTCTTCTCCTGTTGCCCTGTTTGTAAATATTTGAATCCATTAGAGTGGTAGTAATCAAAATTTATTTTGCTAAATTTATGCGTCTTTTAAAACTAACAATTTAGTCCCTTTTTTATAAATTTGTATGGGTGTTATATATAGTAGGCAGCAATCTTCGTATGTTTGGCATACGATTCGCCCCTGTAAAATGTGTAAGATGCTGCTACAGGACTGACTGGAGTACGTCAACTGCTAGCTTAGTAGTGATAGAGAGTGAAGTGATAGAACATGTTGACCACTTCACCTATTTGGGAAGTTGTATCAGCACCAACGGACTGAGTGGCGAAAAAATCTCAGCATGGATCCAAAAAGCTCGGGCTGCTTTCGCTAACTTACACCGTCTCTGGCGTAGGCGTGACATCCGGCTATCAACCAAGGGACGTGTGTACTGCTCATCAGTTCGCTCCGTCCTTCTCTATGGCTCTGAAACATGGTCAATACGAGTTGAAGACATGAAAAGGTTGACTGTTTTTGATCATAGATGTCTACGATCTCTTTCTCACGTTAGGTGGTGGTATAATAAGGTAAGTAATGTTGACGTTAGGCGTAGAGTGTTGGGCAAAGAGGGAAAATCAATCGACGAGGCTATAAAGTTACATAGATTGAGATGGCTAGGTCACGTGCTGCGCATGCCTAACCATCGCCTCCCCCCACCCAACGGGCATTACTAGCTGATATAGGTGCAGGTTGGAAAAGAGTAAGTGGTGGCCAAACAAAAACATGACATCAATCCATGAAATCCTTGACAGTTAAACTGAGTCAGGTAGGGAGGGAGATGCAGACTTCCGGGTTGGGGCCCACCCTCGGGACTCTAAGAATCAATGGGGGCTGGAGACAATAGGTGGTGACATGGCTCAAAATCGTTGTCAATGGCTTACGCAGATGTATTCAGTCTCTTGTGTAATCTTTCATATTCCTTTCTACCATTACTCATTCTGTTTCACTCTTATACTTGTCAAAACTCTATTGATTCTCTTCACTCTCATCTTCTTGTCTACGTTTGTGTGGTATTTGGAACGTGGCAACTGGAACTGCTGCACTTGGGTGCCAAGTTCTATGTTGAATCCAAACAGACAGAAGGCAGAGATTATATGAAAAAGTATGTGATGAATCCGAGCTATCTGATCCCCCGGCATACACACACACCTATTTACTTGTCAAGTCAATTTATGTATGAAAAATGAGTAAAGTCAATTGATTATGACAATATTGCTGAAGAGTCCCAAGCTAGGACGAAACAGCTATCCTGTACTCTCAGGTTTTCCATTGGTTCTCTAACTGATGTCAGCTCATGATGAAATCCTCCATGCAGTATTGAAATAATTCAGAAAAAGCATTTCAGAAATCACAAAGAACGTCTAATATCGATGAGAAGCACTTCATATCAAATGGAATCTGAATTGTCTGAATAGGAATGATGGACTAGAACAGAATTTGACCTGGTTACAACGCCCTCCCCATCCCCGATGAAATGACAAAATTAACACGAATGTGATAAGCAATTTCATTATGTAAGCACACGCTGCTTTTTATAATTTTATACACTTATCAAATCCAACAATCTACACCTGGTTTTGTTATCTTTAACAATTGACCAACTTGACAGCGTAAGAAATTACCTCATGCTGAAGAAATACGATTAAGTTGTTATATATAGAAGCTGAGATTTTTTAAATTCTGGTTTAATAACACTTTGATAAAGCTATTAGCAGCAGCATTAAATAGCGATACGTCAGTAAAAGCAATAATATCGTTTTGTTTTTCATTCATTCATTGGGAAATACAAAAAACTAGAACGAAACAGCTGTCCAGTACTCCCAGTTGGTTTTCCAATGGTTCTCTTACTGATGTCAGCTCATGATGAAACCTTCCAACCAATTTGTCATTCCAATTGTAAAGTTTTGATAGCGAATATCGTTATTGAGTTAGAAATTAAGATAAGATTAAACAATCAAGTTGAGTGACGTAACTCAATTGACGGCATTGAGTAGTGCTCAAGTAAAATCAAAATTGAACGAAAGTCAAGTTAACAGCAGTGGTAATAAGGGGTGGGGGAGGAAGACATTATATAATTTAAGTAACAAAGAAGCAAAAAACGACGAAACAAAAGTTACGTATTCGGTGGAATAGATCAGGTCCACTGTAGTTTTAATGACTGAACAAACTTCTTTAGGAGGAACAATAGATTGAGCAAAGAAATATGCATTCCTTTTCAATTAGTTCCTCGGCATTGGCTGGCTCTACACTAATACATAGTTTCTTACATCAAAATGTTTTACCAATCAAGTGGTTATTTTAGTGAGTCAGTTTTACGTATAGAGGAGGGGGAGAATTAAGAGGTTAAAGGTCATCAAAACAACTAACTAATTGATGTTAGTACCAAGGTGTCCAAGTTTTAATGGAGGGGTGAAAATTAAGTAAGGATTTCAAGATGAGTTGTTTCTTAGGCGTTAGAAACAAGTTATTACATAATCAAGAAATTTGTAAAATAGCATTGATGATTAAGAATCATAAGATGACTCAGAAGAATTACGTTAAAATACAAACAAGTTAATACAGTTAGCTAGAATTGTAAACAATTAACAAAGTCAAAAGAGAGTTACAAGGGGAGGGAAAATATCGTTTTTAAAAACTTAGTACATATTATGTAGTTGGCCATGGCAAATAAAGGGACTGTACAAATTTCTTTTAAACACGCAGATTTGGTTTGTTCAGATGGACTCCGAGTGTCTCTCCTGTATGTAGAAGTCGTACTTGAAGACCATGGAGGAGGTTGGTCGATATACGTTAAATAACTTTAAAAGCTTTGTTAGAGTCGATTTCATGTCCGGTATCGAAGAGAAGAGTCAGTATTGAGCTGCGTATAGCTTTATTCGGACCTTTGCCAAACCAAGATGGGAGGTATTTAGAAATTCTATGGTGAACTTTCCTGATCGTACGCCGTATATAACTAGCCCCTCACAGGCAGTTAAACTTTTAAATATACATGAAAGAGGCGAAACAGAGCAGTCTGTCTTTATTTCTTGAACTAAATATTGGTCGGCTAGTGAATATACAGCATAGCTTAGCTGCGTTGAAATTTCTTTTGAAAGCCCCTCGGCTTTTGACATCACCCGTGAATTGTAATCCTAGGAAGACTGATTTTTTTGGGAACAGTTGGCACCTTCGACTCTTCACT